GAGCACATGGACTTAATGGGCCTAAAGCCCAATTCGAACTGGTTTAATTAGATTAATTAAAGAGGGGTGATTCTGGGATTTAGATCAGCAAATAGGATAAGGGATTGTCCTTATCCACTCAGAGAGTCTAGATCCAAATAGAGATTTGGATCAAGAAACTCCTAATTAGATTAAGAGGGTTGATCTTCATTTGTAGATAAGATAAGGGATTATCCTTATCTCTTAAAGAGAGTCCATATCCAAATACAATATTTGGATTAGGAGATGCTCTCTTTAAGGCTATAAATAGAGGAGCAGGGCGAACCTCCAGTTCATCCTTCAGTCTTACTGATTCAAGAGAGAAGACAACATACAGTTGGATTGACGCCATCTTCTGCTCTTGCCTTCTCCTGCTATTGCCGCCATTACCAGTTCGATCTCCACCTGTAGGAGCGATCAAGAAGAGTTCTTGATATTATCTTTTGGAGGAAAGATAATAAGAAGTTATGCTCACCTGCCCTCCATCGAGTTCTTGCTGAAGAATTCGGTTCTTGCCAAAGAACCACCCTGTTGATTCTGCTCCACCCTACGTTGTGTCATCTTCAATGGGAGCAGTTTTTTGGTATTCTCCTTGGGCGCGAACACCTTCGTTGGGGGTTACTACTACTCTATATCAGGTATATCCCTCTCCTACCTTTTGGTTTCAGATCTGGTCTGGTTTAGGTTCAAGATTGATCATTGAAAATGCAGTTTTTTAAAATAGGGAATGTGATTCCCACATGAGAGAGAAATTTTTGAAATTTTGCTCAACCTACCTGCAGGGTTCGGCCATCCATATGATGGATCTTTCATCCCTTAAGAGTGGTTGTGAAGATGGCCTTTGAAGAGGAAAAGACTTTGGCATGAGGCAGTAGAAAGCATTCATGGGCAAGTTGGCATTGGGGGGATGTTGGTGTGTCTTAATGGGCTACTTTGGCTTCTCCATGGAAAGCCATTCATGGAATTCTGTTAGTTTTGAAGCCTTATTAGGTATGATGTGTGTACTGGAGATTAAAGTTTTGTTCTAAGAAGACCTTTGAGTCGGTAACTCTACTCTTAAGGGCATCTTTTCTTCCTTGTATTTCCTCTCCTTATTTAAAAGTGAACATATCCAAAGATTTGCTTCTTTATCCCTATCGATTGTCATTACTTGGGACCTAGGTATAAGAAGAGATTTGAGAGACCATGATTTTAATTTGGGTTGCCTTGCTTTTAAAATCTTTTGACTCCTTTCTTTTGGATCCCTCTAAACCAAACAGTTGGGTTTGAACTCCTCACCCTAAGGGCCTGTTTTTCGGTGCTCCTTTTTTATCTTCTTTATGCCTTCCTCCCACCCATCAGCCCTTCCCCTCTAAAGAAATTTGGTCCAAACCCATCCTTCCCAAGGCGGTTGGAACTTTTTGTTGGGAGGCCCTTCATGGGAAATTAATAATTTGGAGAACCTACAAAAAGAAGACCCTTCCTCTGTATTTCTCCAAACTAGTATATCCTCAACAAAACTAATGGTGAGAGCTGTTACCACTTACTAATCTCGTGCCTTTTGTTGCAGGCTTTTGGGAAAGGTTTTTTGTTCTGTTAGGCTTTAGGCGGAATTTGCCTTTGCAGATGAGTAATTTATTTGACCTTGCAACCTTTGGATGGCCTAAGAGAAGGATTAGAATCCTGTGGAGATGTGCCAAGTGTGTTTTGGTTTGGACTGTTTGGGAAGAGAGAAATGCTAGAATTTTCAATGATAAGGAAAGAAATAAGGAAGTTGTTTGGAATTGCACTATAAACAAGGCTATTCATTGGGCTAAAACTTTGGATTTATTTTCCCACTTTTCCTTTGATGATATTTGGCAAAATTGGGAAGTTGTAGCGAAATGTTCAACCAATAAGGATAGGCCTCTTTTAGTTTGGGTACCTCTCGAAGAATGATTTATAAAACTCAATTTTGATGGCAGTAGTGTATGTAATCCAGGGCAATCAGGAATAGGGGTGTTTTCAGGAATGCAGAAGGCTACATTATTGCCTTATATTCAGGCCCTGCAGGAGTGGGGGGCTCTGTTCATGCTGAGTTCCAAGCAGTGTTGCAGGGAGTACAGATTGCCAAAGAGCTGGGCTTTAATAGGTTGGATAATTGAAGGGGATTTTAAGCTGGTAGCTCGGTGGCTGAAGGACCCGGACACAATAATTTGGAATTATAGGGAAGCAGTGAAAATATTTAAATGGCTGACCACAAATATGACAGTAAGAGTTCAATGGGAAAGAAGATTGGCTAATGGAATGGCTGATCACTTAGCTAATTATGGGGTGCATAAGGATCACGTATATTGGGCTTAGTTGTAAATTATATTATGAGGCTGCATTACACACCTCTTATAGTCTTACGGGGAAGCCTTCATTGTATACAGTAGTCGATCAAGACTACAATCAGCCTTGAATCCTAACAGATTTCAGATTTAGGAAAGGTAGAAGAAAAGTAGGAGGAAAAAGAGGAGAAGAACCAGAAGTACACAAAGGTTTGAAAGGAGGAACAGATTCAATCAATCTGCCGCCACCACTCTCTTAATATTTATAGGTTATGTTCATTACATAGGGGAAAGGATAGGACTGCCCTTAATACTTACATGGCAAGAAAAAACAAATAAAAGACTGAAATAAATAACAAACTGGAATAATAAGCTGACTACCAACTAACACTGACATGACTAATAATAGTTGCACATGCTGTCCTACGAACAGGGTGGGGACCACAGCCGTGGGGCCCACATCAGTTTTCTCTACACTCCCCCTCAACCTTGGTCAGGAGATCTACAAGCTGCATGTTGGAGGTGATATACGGGAGACACACTTCCTGTGATGAGATGGACAAAATGTCGATCAACTTCAATATGCTTAGTTCTGTCATGCTGCACCAGATTGTGGGCTATATTAATAGCC